GTGAGGGAAAGCACCAAGAGCAGCTGCCAGACCACGGCTGAAGAAAGGCTGGAGGTTTGCAAAGACGTTGGCGTGACCCATGGGCATGACCTGTGCTCCTCCTGCCAGGGCAGGCTCCTGCAGGAGTTTGTTTCTCGCACCATGAAATACCTTCCGGGCTTGTTCTATCTAATGCCCAAGGCCTGAGCAGGAAAAATCTTCAGCTCTGCTGCCATGAGGAGAACTGGAAGGACCTGTGGAAGTCATATTGGTTTGGGCTCCTAATTAATGAGAAACAACTCCCATGTCATGGTTGACTCCTCTGGTTGGACTCAGCCTGTGGGTCTCTTCGACTGACCCACTCGCTGTACAGCACCGTGACCTGGAGATTTTTTGCACAGATTTAAGGACTTTAGTCTGATCGTATAAAAAGTAATGGTTATATTAAAAATATTATTTAATGGGAGAAATCTCATACCGCTGCTTGAATATGAGTGCAGTTTGCGATTGTGTGACTTCTGGATGCGTCTCTTGGCATTAAAAGTGTGGAGTTTAAATCAGAAAAATAGTTCCTAGATTACCAAAAAGGACAAGTATTAGTTGTTTTGTTGAGACCACAGTCACAGGCTTCTCCGGTTACAGTGCTGAAGAAAAATACTGAAGTCCATTTTACAAGTCATTTAAGCAATGGCTCAAAGTGCTCGAGCAAAAGCGGAATCCAAGCAGAAGTCAGCTTCAAAATGATTAAAGCTCTACTCAGCCTGGAATTGTCCTACAGGAGTTCTTTAAGACCGGGTTAATTAGGCAGCTGTTGGACACCCAGCTGTGATGCAGTCGGTTCGCAGATCTGCTCCACGGTGCTGCGCGGGGGAATGCGCCCCGGCTGTGTTTGCAGGGAGAGCGGTGTGGAAACTACGGGGAGCTGCATGGGAAAAAAAGCTAGATGCGAGGCAAGGAGAATATGGATCTTTTGGATCTTCCTAATGTTGATATGGGGAGGGACTTTTTGTCAAACTCCGTCCATTTCGGCAAGGTAAACCCAGCGGTGATAAATCTGCATCACGCAAGTCGGCGAAATGTTAAGCAACGAACCACAAAATCTGCATCTATTGTTGTATACGTCCTCTGCAGCTTCCTCGTGGTGAGAGTGTGGGCAAAGAGAATGTCTTATTCTTTTGATTTATTCTTCTTTACTCATTTCTTATTAATATTGCATTCGCTCAATGTCGCTTTGGTCAAATTCTTGCTAAAACCAGATTTTTTTGAGTGAAGTCACTGATACTAAATTAAATATACGTCCTTGCCCGGGCTCTGTGGGGTGCATGTGAGTTCAGCAGCACATCAATTCATCCAGCTCACTGCAACACCAAGTTCATTTCTCCATATATTCATGGCCTGTGCTATGCTGAGAAAAACCCTTGCCATGACTTTGAATTTTAGGGGGTTTCCATCCTTGCTGTCCAGAATAGCTGCGAGTGCAATCCTTCCTGGCAAGGGAAGTGTGATGAGGGGCTTGCTCTGAATTTCAGTTCCGATTTAAATCTTCTTGCTAAACTGCCTGTCTGCTTTACGTGTTTGTTGTGTTTGCTCGCAGGCTTGCCTGTGGATGGAAATGACATACTCTGCTGTCCCAGCTTCTTCGGAAGGAAGATCGGTATTTTAAGCGGAGTCTTCGCTGTGCGTATTAAAATGTAATGGAAAATGTAGGCAATGTGGAGGAGAAGCTGAAAAGTAAGGTGATTATATGTGAAAATATGAGCAGTTTCCATTCTGATGGGGGAAAAAGATTTTGCATGTTCTTAAACGAGAACGGCTTTCTCCAAATCTCAGACAACGTATGTGAAGAAACAGCCCTTCTGATGTCAGCGAGAAAAACTTGGAGTGCTTGTAGCTGAGTAAACACTTAAATGATTTCCTGACTGAAGGCCCAGATAATACAGAAAGTCTTTGTGGTACCATAGCTAAAAGGTTGTGGTTTTGTTTTTTTTTTTTTCTTTCTCCCTATCTGAGGCATGAGCTTATTCAGCGTTCTTTTAAAATTTTCAGTAGCTGATCTATGAATTTCAGGAGGTGACGGAAATTGAGGTTTAATTTATAATATTTAGAGTTTGTTGTTAAATGATACATGCAGAGGAGCTGGAGTATCCTTAGAAGTACTTACACATCAGGACGCTAAGATAAAAGATTTCACATCCTTCCTTCCGCTCTCAAAGTAAGTAAAGAAGAATAATTTGTTGCCATTGATTAAGGATTGCGAAAAGTTAAAACAATTAATTTACCCTAAGATTTTCATTGCAGGAGCCTGAATTCTGGTCACTGTTACCGTGTCGCGCAATTGTTCTTACAGTTCTCTTCGTGTGAGCAGGAGCAGGGTACCCATCAGTACAATTATGGGGATCAGAATCTGGCCCGGAAACCTCAAAACGTGTGGAAGCACATTACGTTAGGAAATAATGCAAGCGTGTCAATAAACATACGATCAAATGGTACTCGTGTTAAAAAGCTGTTCAATAATATCAATAGGCATTACAAGAGGAACAACACGTAGTCTGTTATCGTAGAACTTTGGAAAAACATTTTGTCTTTGGCTTTTGGTTTATTTATAACTAATATATAACGAACGGGGATACACGTAAGGGTTTGAGGGGAAGTAGAAGCTCATTTATATGGAACATCAGGGTAAAGCAATGCAAACCAGAAAAAATGAGGAGCTTCAAAACCCTAAAAGTGAACTTGAAGGTTCTCACTGCAATGAAATGCGATGTCCAAAATATTTTCAAGGAGCCTTTCATTATCCTTGCACAAGCCTAGGTACAGTTAAAGGGAGAAGGGAAATGGAGCTTTTGAGGAGATGCTTGAGGCTTCGCAGGATGAGAGCCAGTTCACGGAGAGAGGCTGCACTGATGAGTCTGCGTGGAGCTTGCTGCAGGGTTGTGACCCTCGTCAAAGAGAGGAGCAGAGGAGAAAAAGAGTGAAATAGGTTCGTTTAAAAACTTTTTCACAGGGCACTGGCTGAGGCTCTTTTCCCCTCTGTTGACATATTATTATTTTTTTTAAGAACCACGGTGTGTTTTGCTCTGTTGGGAGAGGTTTGGTGAGCGGTTAAGATAAATAAATATGCATGCATGTCTTTTTGCTTCTCCTGATAACCGTTGCGTGGTCCTTAAGGTCCTGATTTTATAAGTTAACTTATAAATATGGACCATATTTTAATATTATCCTCTCTGTTGACCTTCCTCAGATACTGTCCCAACACTGTTGTGGTTTTTTTTTTTTTTCTGGTTCCATTATCAAATAGATATTGATTCTATGCACTAAAACATTTTCCAGATAGCACTGTTGAACTCCCCGCTGCAGGTCTTTTTTTTTTTTTCCTCCAAGATGCAAACATTTTATTTTTGTCTTAAGGTAAATGTAAGCAAATGTAATTAACTTTCTTGTTCTTTTCCCAAGAGTAGCAAGAATCAAAACGGATTGTTTGGGAGTGGAGGGAAATGAGAGGCTGAGAAAACGCCTTTTCCTTGCCACCAAATGGAAAAAGTCTTTGAATTCCCAAATTTCGCACCGAATATTTCAGGAGGAGGAGGAAATATGATGGCTTGGCCTGCGAGCCCAGGCTCAGAACTCCTTCCACTGCTCTTAGCTATAAGTAATTTCTTATTTCCTTCTTAATTGCTTCTAAGAGCACTGTATTCTCCCTCCTTCAGAGTAACAAGGGATCCTGTCTCCTCGCCTCTTCCTCTCCTCCCCATCCCAGACTCTTTGGAATTGAACTATGGAACAAAGATGGAGAAAAGCCCTGTGGGATTTCTCTGCTCCGGGTGTCTGTCCTGCAGTTCTGTTTATTTTTTAAATATACAAAGGCCAAAATGGCACGCAGTTTAAAAAGCTTAAGTTTACTAGAAGACCACTCTAATGAGAGGAGTGTCGCTTTGCTTTAAAGTTAGCAAACGTGGCAAAGGCACACGGTAAATTCAAATTAACCATGGTAAAGTGGAAGGAAGTCACTCCTAGGGTGTGTCACTGCATTTCTCCTTTTCCCCAGAGTTTATCCTCCTCCCGCTTTACAAATCCGGTCAGAAACAGGGAGCCCACGTGGTACTGAGAAGCCCGGGATCTGCGTCTGCACGGGGCTGGGTTCTGGCTTTACAGCAGCAAAGTGGGTCACCAGCTTGTTATTGGCAGCTCAATTCGGGTGTCATTTAGGCAGCTGAAGAGAGACAAACAGGCCATCGATTGGTCTAGCAACAGCCCGGGGCCTCTCTATTTTAATTACATGTATTCTTTGGACCAAATTCATCCCTGTTGAAACATTGTCAACTTGAATGAAAGTCCAGAGTGAAGGAATTTGGCCCAATATATTTTTCTTTTTTTTTCTTCTATATTACTAATACATCTAACGCTGTTGCAAATGACTTCATTTTTGTCTCTGCGACTTTTCTATGCACGCTCACTCAGTTTTTGACGCTGCTTTTGAGTAGTGAAGAGAGATGAAGAGAACTTTTCATGTTAGCTCTCGGTATAGGATGAAGCATTAAGCAACTGTTGAAACTTATTCCTCCCGTACAGGTGACCTCTCTCCAGCACAACAGCTCTGTGTTCAGGATGAGAAAGCTGGGTGCTTTTGCTTGATTTACCAAACGGAGACTGGTTTTCAGTAGTGTTGCTGCTGTGTGTTCTCTCTGGGGGCACTGGAGAAATCCAGTGAAGGCTGCTGTCAGGTGAGTCTCTTTCTGTTCCATCAAAGCCTGGCTGCTCTAACAGCAGTGAAGATTTTTTAATTTTTTTTCCCCCCCCCTCCAGAAGGGTTTCTGAGGAACCAGAAGCCAAAATATGTCAAGAATTAGGACTCAAATGCAGCTTGTCTCTGTCTCGCATGCACAGATGGGCAGCTGGTCTAAGGGCGCACGAGGCGTTTCGTCAAGGAAGAATCTGCAGGAGGAGCCTCTGCCTGCTTGTCCACGCGGTGCCGAAGGCCACGATTCTCCCGCAGGATCTCCCAGCTGGAAACTAATGGCCCAGAGAGGAGGGTCAGGGTGAGGCGGGGCAGTTGCTCCTCTCTTTGAGTGACCCACATGCCCAGGGCGAGCCGAGCTCCCGCTCCCCAGCGACGCTCCCAACCGCTCGCCCGCAGCAGCCGGAGCCACCGAGCGGGAGCAGACGGCTTCCAGGGCAGAGGCCAGGCTGAAAAGTTACAGCTGCTCTCCTAGCTGGGTCCTTGCTCTCCTCCACCCTCCCAGCCACCGGGGTGAGAGCCCTGCGGGGCTCGATGTCGCTGCTGGAGAACACCAGCTGGGCTGCCGAGGAAACCCAGGGCAACGAGTCCTCAGAGCACGCGTTTTTCTCTCTGGATTATCAACATGTCCAAGTCCCCTTTGAGATCACGCTCTGGATCATGCTGGCATCCTTGGCCAAAATAGGTGAGCCACTGGGAGAGGGTGAGGAAGGCCGGGGTTCTCCGTTTGGGGTCGGTGTGGGCAGGGGTGGCCTCTGCTTCCCCTCTCCTCCACTCTTGGAGCCTGAGGTAACACGCCGAGTCCAAAGGATGCACATGCTGTGTGCCAGACGTACTGCATGCAGGGAAAGTCGCCACCCAGTTGCGTTTTTGCTTGTAAACGGTGGGTTTCCCCCTGTGTGCGGTGTTGCTGCTAGTAGGAAAATTATCAGGGTTTTTCCAAGCGTTTTATTTAACTGCAGTAGACACCAAGGTGTGCATCCATCTTCGTTAATGTGCCAGCTGCTCCGCGTGCAGGTTGTCCACTGACACCCTCACCTCGAAAGGAAGGCTCCGCGCTCTTCAAAAAGGGTGTCGCACCTGGCCAGCTGCAAGGAAAAAATTTAATCCATGTGCAGGGTGTTATACAGCCTAAAATAAAATTTTTCTGCATCAAGGAGGTTGTCTGTGCAACGACACATAAAATATTACGTTTTGTATAACTTGGTCCTGTCTTTTTTAATTTTTTTTTTTAATTCTCTGTGAAACTGGGTGTAGGAAAGTGGAAATAATTTTTTTTTTTGTGTGTGTGTGTCCAGGAATTGTGATCACTTCTGTTAAATTACTGCTGTAAAAGTTATTTTAGAGCTTTTTCCTTTTATTTTATTTTTTTTCCTTAAAAGGGCGAATTCTCTGAGATTCATTTAGATCCGAACTTCTTTCAGATGGAAGTGGTCTTTGCGTTGTGCTATTCTGCATATTGTATGATGAGATCTCATCTCTATTAACATGCGTGAAGAAATTATAATGATTACAGATTTTTTTTTTCCTCCCTAATTATACCTATTCCAATTTGGTTTGTTTGAATTTCTTTCTTTCTTTTAATAACTCACCTAGAGTACTTGTAGTGCTCGTCAGCGTTTCTCTCTAACATTGGGTTCTGCACAAGGCTGGATCGATTGGTCTTTTTTTAAAGTTACCTTTAGCTTTAAGTGTTTATGATTAAATAATATTGAAAGTAGCATCATTTATAATTAATGAGAATGCTTTCTTTTGGATGTATGGAATCTGCATTGTGTTTAAAATTAGCAGTTGCTATTTATGTTAGTGCTGAAGATGGCATACTAACTAGATTACATCATAAATAACTCCAAAGGCTTTTTATTTACGCAGGTTTAGTTTTTCCATGTGCGTATTACCTAAAAATATGTCTTAAGCCTTGTGCTATGATAACGCAACCTGAACCAATAGTAATTTTAGACAGTTTGCTGTTCTGAATATTCTTTCAGATTTTCTAGCCAATTTCCTATGGGGTGACTTGACCTTAATTGCGTGCATCTATTACTGCTACTCCACAGCCCGCTGAAGGTGGGAGCATGGGGAACTTCCTCACCCCAGCAAGGAGCTTACTGGTGCTCTTCAGCCGGTTTGGGCTGATGAGGTAACGTTGGCTTGTTTTGTTTTGTTTGTTTTTTTTCTATTCATCCCCTTCCAGGGTTTCATCTGTATAACAAGCTGCCTTCTGTTGTTCCCGAAAGCTGTTTATTGATATTTGTAGGACTCATCATGGGGGGAATCATCTATGGCTTAAATGACAAGTCACCACCTGTTATGGACAGTGACATCTTTTTCCTCTACCTCCTGCCACCCATCGTGCTTGACGCCGGTTACTTCATGCCCAGCCGCCCCTTTTTTGAGAACATGGGCACTATCCTCCTCTACGCCGTTGTGGGAACGATATGGAACGTGTTTGGGATCGGCTTTTCCCTGTACGGGATCTGCCAGGTGAAGGCCTTTCACTTGCAGGATGTGTCGTTGCTTCACAACCTCCTGTTTGGCAGCCTGATCGCCGCCGTGGATCCCGTGGCGGTGTTGGCGGTCTTTGAAGAGATACACGTCAATGAAAAGCTACACATTTTGGTCTTCGGCGAATCGCTCCTGAACGACGCGGTGACAGTGGTAAGGAGGAGCCTTTATTTTGAGTATTTAACTTTCAGAAGAAGGATGGGCTCGTGCTGAGAGGTGGGATGTGAGGTCTGAAGAGGGAAAAGGCATCAACAGCTGCTCCTAGCAGAGGACTTCTGGTCTGCTTCTCTGGCCTGAGGTCCTGAGGAGCTTTCAGGTGAACATCCCTTTGTAAGTCTGGAGGCAGAAATGTGTGTGAGTGCCACAGCACTCCCCTGGTAGGAACCTGACCTCCAGAGAATCGTAGAGTCATAGGATACCAGCTTAGAAGGGACCTCAAGGATCTTCTGCTTCAACCTTCCTTGGCAAAAGCACGGTCTGGACAAGATGGCCCCTGCACTGGCAGGAATCCCAGCAGTATATTTGAGTGTTATTGCTACATGTGGCTATGTCTGGTAAATATGTTGTTAATGGCTGTTTTTCTCTCTCATTTTTTTCCCCCAGGTGCTCTACAAGCTATTTCGATCTTTCTGTGAAATGCCAACCATCAAAAGTATGGATGTGTTTGCTGGAGTTGGAAAATTCTTTGTGGTTGGGCTAGGAGGAGTTTTAGTTGGTCTGACTTTCGGGATGACTGCCGCCTTTACCACACGATTCACCAAGGAAATCCGTGTCATCGAACCCCTCTTTGTCTTCCTGTACAGCTATCTTTCCTACCTCACTGCCGAAATGTTTCACCTTTCGGGGATCGTGGCGTAAGTATGTCCCAGCATCTCATCTGTCCAGGCAAACTTTCTGGCTATATTTAGTGAAATGTATGAAAAAAAGGGGTTAAAGTCAGTTTGCTTAGATGGAAATCTGTGTGTGGCAGCAAACAGCGAGTATAAAAGCGGGTGGAAGAGCTGAGAGGTGTGGCCCTGTTTCACACCTTACACGGTGGCACGTCAGTGGCAATAGCTGCAAGTCACAAGCCATCCCGGTGGCTACTGCTGGGCAAGCCTCCTCCGGCGGGTGGGTTTGTGTGGGTTATTGAGGCGTGTTTATTAGAGCTCCGTGGTTTGTGTTTGGAAACCCTTGGACGTTCAAGCAGCGAGGTGTCTAGTTGATTTGACAGAGCCAGAAGAGACTTTCTTGGCGGATTTCGTTATTTTCTGTGTGCAGCCTAGTCAAAACCAACATCTGAAGAGCTGCACGGAGTATTTAATCTGCTCTTTAGAAAGGTTTGGTCTTGGTTTGCAGCATGTCTGTTGTAACATCCTCCTCCTGATCTGCCTGCCCTATGAAGCAGCTCTACCTTTGGGTGGTGGCCCCAGAGGTGTGCGTGGTGGGGTGGGAGTTGTGTATCCCCCGCAGAGCTGAAGCCTGGAAATATTCCCACTGTTTGGGAGTGGAGGGCTCTAATGGCAACCTCTGCTTCGGAGATTCTCACGCACTGCTGGTAGCTCAGACACAGTTTGTGAGTTTGGCCTCCTGAGTGAGGGTGTCGTCCATCACCCCTCGCCGGTAACGCTGGAAATCTGCGGACTGATTTCAGTCGAAGATTTCAAGGGTACTGAACCCAAACTGCTTGCAGTTTAGTACAGCGCAGCCAGGCTTATGCACTCTTCAGTCTGAAAACCACTTCAGAGTACTGGCAGGCTCTTTGTGTGAAGGTTTTCTGTGAGGGTGGAGCAAGACGGGGCAGGCAGGGCCTGGTGCAGCATCCCACGCTGTACCAGGTACCATCTCATGGATTCCCTTGCAGCTTTTTGGATCGGCGAAGTGGGAGTCTTTGTTTCTGTAAATTTAGTCATTCACGATACAGTTAATTTTTCTTTTTACTGGGTAGGTCTTTCAATAAAAAAAGAATAATTTGGGGCCAGATCCTTCAGTTTTGGGAGAGGTTATTGAGCTTCGTGCTTACCTCGTTGTGCATTTCACTCGCAGAGCAGGTGCTGAGAAAAAAATAATCCCTCTGGTCAGAGAAAGCTCACCTTGGAAAGCAGAGACAGGTGAAAACCAGTCATTCAGCCCTAGTTTCTGGGGGCTGATATCTGTTGCGTTTGGTTCTCCTACCTAAATTAAGCCAGCTGGTGCTGAGGATCATAACCAACTATTTAATATTTCCCAAAAGACTATAAAGTGGGCTCGGACTGCGTTGATAGCCACAGTGTAAACAACTGTAGATCTGATAATAATGAAGATAAAAAGAAAATAAAAATATTAAGTCAGGTACCAGCTAGACACAGGAATATCCAGGAGATCTATTTAAAACCCAACGATACTGCTTTGGATATAAACCATTCCTGTGTCTTGCAGATTTTGTTTCCTTGAATGGTTAATAGGAGCAACATTCTGGCATTGCTGAAAACAATTCTAGCTCTGGGAATAGGTAAGAGAAGGCCTATTTATAGGAGCGTGAGACAGAACAGCGAAATAAATATGCTGCATAATCATCATGGAGCAGAAAACATTCAATCCTAATGGCGTCTACTTCTATCAATCACAATCTACTGTACCCATTATGGAACCCATTTTCTATTCTTTTGAATAATGCATTGTTTCTAAAGCAAAACAATTGCGAAGGCAGCCGATTCCTGCACTGCTGGTCTTGTAATTGCCAAATTATAAATGCCTCTTTTATGTATCTTGATTTCAAACAATCCATTCGTGACCGGGGAGTCCTGTATTATAAGAAGCAGATCTTGGCAGTTTGTTTCTTTGAAAAGTAATTTGATTGCCAAAAAAAAAAAAAAAAAATCAATTCTACATAGTCCAAAAAAAAAAAAAACAATCTGCTAAACAGTTCTGCAAATTTTTTTAGTTTGATTTTTTCTTTTTTCCTTTTTTTTATTTTCCCCCGCCTTGCTCTAGGGCCGGTGTCCATCTTTGAAGCTGTGACAGGACAGGTCCAGTTTACTCCCTCTCTGTGAATCTGGTGTGAATCCGTTCTCCAATCAGTGTTCCCAAACCATGGCTCTGGAAGTCACTTGCCCATAAATACTTGTTGGGTTTCTTAGTTCCTAACTGGAACTATTTCACTAACTACTTATGGAGGAAGAAGCAGAAGAATTTATTATTTTCTTTTCAGCCTGTGGTTCACTCCCTGTTATTTTTTTCTGGCTCAGTGCTTTAAGCAAAACGGGTCAGTCTAAAAAGGACAAATCAAAAAAGACCGATTTCAGGATATTTTTAAGAATTGGTACATTTTCTTAGGAGATGAAAGATGTGAACTCAAGCAGCATTAGATAAATTTATAAAAGTGTGTTTGAAAAAGTATGTTTTTTTTTTTCTTCTAACTTTTTTGCTGCTCCAACCAAATACCTGATAAGTATTTCCCCATAAGAGTGTTGCTGGTTTTCTTAGTGCTTTAAGTAAAGCAGAAATGAATGTAGCTGCTGTCCATTCCTTTGCCTTGGTCCAACAATAGATGCCGAGTTGTGGCAGTGAAGATGTGCAAGAGATTCACTGCTGAGCCAGAAGGACAGTGGCCCTTGCTCTGCCTTTGTTAGCAGCGGTGCAGAGTGGTTGACAGCATCTTCCTGAAATAAATAAATAGCTGTGGAGGAGAGAAACGGGGTCTCTGGTTTCATAGAGGTTATAAAACCACAACCAGAGCACAGTCAGCTCTGCCCGTCTGCAAACTGTCCTGTTTACTGGGGCCAGAGGGTTTTTTCTGCCAAAGCCCAAATAATGCGAAGAATCTCCTTTGTGATATTCTTGGGGTTAAATGGGATGTTTTCACTGCAAAGCAGTAGTTGCGTGGCTCTTTTCTGAATAGATCTTATCCTCTGAGAGGATACATTATGGATAATGTGCTCCGGAGGCCACCACCTATTTTAACAGCTATTTGCACCCTTATGGGTCACTTACCTGTCCTGGTCACAGCTGGGGTTTAAAGTCAGTCTGCCAGACCCAGATGTGCTGCTGCAAGCTGAGGATCTGCTCCTCCATGGGTGATGTAATGGAAAGAGAGTTACCACGATAGCCCCTGTGAAAGGAATTTTGAATGCAATAAAACTCCATATGGATGGCCTTGCCAAATACCAGTGGAAACCAGATCCCAGCAATGTAAAGCTGATTTGCTATTGCTGGCACAACATTTAAAACAAAATTTCTGTCCAGGTTAAAATATATATAAAAAAAAATATATATATATAAATGGAGCTTCGATTCTTTAAGCACTCAATTGTTTTGACCTTCTAAGATTGCTGGCCTGAAAACGTATTGATTTGAAAAGCTGAATGAATTAGGCTAATCACACGTACCTTGTAACTTGAAGAACCAATTATCCATGAAAAATTGCAAGGCAGAAGTTTTAATTGGTGCTGCGCACTTCTGAAGTGACCTTGGATATGCGATACCCGAGGAGGTCAGATGTTCCGACTATAGCAACAGCATTTCTTGGCTCATTGTGCAGCGTGCTTGAGCATTTTATTGTCTCTTGGTTGCTTGGAGCCGATGGCTTCCTAGCTGCGCCCCCCCAAAAATTACAGGTCAGGTCAGGCTTAGAAATACACAATGTGAGGGATGTTGTACTCTTGAGTTTCTCCAACTTTAGATTAAGTTTGGTCCCTTGGGTGAAGGAGCACGGCATCTGGGCTGCTCTTGAACTACACCAATTCTGAGTCCTACAAGAATCTGCTGTAGTGACCAGGTATCAGTCAAACTCACAGGAGTCCTCTTTACACATTTCTCGTGCTGAAAAAAAAAAAGTCTCCTCTTCCCTCAGGTGTCTTTCATCCAGGCAAAATAAGTGATGTGGGCTCCGAAACATGAAACTCTTCAGCCCGGGTGGTTAGAGCTTGGCAAAGTTAAAGAGCTGAGGACAGTTGATGGGAAGAGTTGGGTGTAGTTAATTCGGTATTGCTGTGTGGCAATAGATGGTGAGCTGTTTATCTGTTAAAAACCAGATTCAGACAGTTGTGGTCAACCTATGTAGTATCTTATCGTCCTGGTGGTCCTCCTGATATTTTGGACTTGATGTAGGAAGCAAATCACTGCCCAGTGAGATGTCTGTAAACACCTAAGACTTGATGAAGCCTATTTTTTTTATAAATGACAATGTGTTGGTTTCATGTTCTTAAGTAGAAAAAATTACTGGTTGCTTTTCATTTTCTCAGCATCATTGTTTGTGCCATGGGCATGAAACGTTACGTGGAGGCCAACATCTCTCTGAAGTCTCACACCACAGTGAAATACTTCATGAAGATGTGGAGCAGTGTTAGCGATACCCTCATCTTCATTTTTCTTGGAGTTTCCACCATTGGAGAAAATCATGAGTGGAACTGGCCATACATTTGCTTCACTGTCATTTTCTGTCTCATTTGGAGAGCACTAGGTATGGTAAAATTATAGTTGTTGTTTGTTTTGTTTTTTTTGGGTTTTTTTTTTTTTTAATATGTATATATTATTCTTTATGGGAGTAAAAAATGTGATTCCATTAAATGAGAGAACGTTCCTGCCCCTCCATCATCCTCTCCCGCTCGCTCTGTGCATGTTATCCCAGATGTCAATGCAAGGACTGAAGTGGGACACCCCAGCTGATGCTTCCCTCTTCCTCCACCTCTTGCCTAATAGCAGCTCTTGCATTTTACTGCAGTTTCCTAATCTGTGCACTCACCACAGACAGCATTGGTGCTAAATAGAGATCCTGGTGACGTCTATTTTATTGGTACCCCTGTCTTAGACCTTCCAGTTGCCATGATCTCTTTTTCCGTTTCAGTCTATCTCAGTCCCTTGGTTTCTGCACAATAGGAGGGAGATTGTAAGTACATAGCTTGGGTTCAGGGAGCTGTGTAAAACTGTGGGGCCTCTGACTGCATGTTCTGCATTGCAGAGATTTAAAGGATTTAATTCCTAACGAGTCTGTGTACGGCAGCATCCTTAAATGGGGAACTGGAGGAACCTTCAAACAGCTGTCTCTGGAGAAGCCCTGCTGTAAAGCTTACTGCTGGGTACATGAGAATTAGGAGCTAAAAAGTGGGGATGCTTCTGCTCCTACTCGAAAACTTCAGAACTGCACAGTGAGGGAATTGCTGAGGTTGGCAGGGACCTCTCGAGATCTAACCCCCTGCTTAAGCAGGGTCAGCTAGGCAGGACTGTGTCCAGTTGGCTTTCAGTTATCTCCATGGACAGAGACTCTACAACCTCTCTAGGAAACCTATTGCACTGTTTGACCAACCTCCGTTAAAAAAGTGACCCAGACTTAGCGATAACAAGAGGAAGAGAGCTGTGAATGACAAAGCTCTCCTGATAATTGTGGCGAAAGATGATCTTCTTGATCAGTTATGATGAAAACCTAAGTCCTGGTCCCAGAGTACTCTGAGATCCCATTTTGCCGTGTTGTAAATGACCAGAAAAAATATAGATGCACTGATTCACCGTGTCCCCAGCGGTATCTTGTGCTGATTTGGTGTCCAGAGGCTGATTCTCCTTTGCCTCTTACAGTGTGCAGTTGCTGTCACCCGAGTGAGTGCAGAGGACCTACCTTCTCCTTTATGAAAGTTTTCATGTGTTAACTATATCTGCAAATGTAACAGGAATTCAAGAGCTAAAAACATTCGACAGGATTTATGTTTCCAAACCACGAAGTCAAACAGAGTGAACTCAAGTTTGATAGACACTTGAAGAAATTGCTTAAATAGGATAGGCTGTGATTAGCCAAGACATGGCAGAGTGGGTTTTATTAGCTGTTAATACACGCCAAGGTTTGTTTTAATAACTATGCACCGTAAATGCACTTGGAAACATGTTTTTTAGTCAGTTTTGTGCCCATTCGAATGTTTTATTACAATTACGTGGGTTTCTCTTAAATTATTTGCTCAAATGAAAAGAAGTTCTGAGCGTTTGACTTTTTTTTTTTTTTTTTTTAAATTCTTTGTTGCAAGATGTAAAGAACATAATAACATTACAAAAGCCCACCGAAAATCCTCTGGCTCTCTAAACACAGCTCTTCTGATTGCATTCTCAAATTATGCAGCACGTTATTAGAGATGGGCTCAGCGCTTGCAGCGCGGGAAGAAAACCCTCTTTGTATTCAACATCTCCCTTGAACGAAATCACAACGTACGAACGAGGGCTGAAAATCACCTTGCACGTCTGATCCTGAATGGGGTGTCCCTTTTCTGCAGCTGGGCAGGGTGCTGCGTGAAGCTGGGCTGGGAAACTCCAGCCTTGGTGGTGGTGGTTGAGATCAGACCCCGACCTGCTCAGACCCCTCCAGCAGCTCCGGAGGCACTGAGCCCGAAATGGGAGGCACCCGTGGGGGTTGTTGCCATGAATTGGGGACTTTGGGGTTGACGCTGCTGGGGATAGTATGTAAAGTGTGTTCTAGTCCTTTACTGGACCTTCCCAGTGCTCTTACACGAGAAATGATTATGCTGAAGCCTGGGGACTGGAATTACTTTGATATAAGAGAGGTCATCTACAAAGCAAAAAGCATTAATTGCATGATAACGCTACTATTCTACCGTTATCTGAGCACTGGGGAGATTTCCTTCTGCTCTTTTTCAAGGTATATCTCCAGAAGAAAACATATTCTGCTCAAAATGATTAATTGTATGTCATCTCATGGAGCAAACTGGCCTTGAATTAGTTTAAGGAATGCTAATAATAATTTATGACCAAGGATTAAATTAAGACAAAGGCCTCAATATCAGCTCGAGTAAATTCTGTTCTTTTAAATCATCAGCACTGCCTGAGCTTACAGAAGCTGAGCATGTGAGCTCAGGTATGCTTTATTTTATTTTATTAAGTTGCAAAGAACCTTGAAACCAAACCTATCGGCTGGTCTGGAGACCAGCTCCACGGTGCTGTGGGGATGGGGAAGGCATTGCAACGTTCCGTTAATCGAGTTCCCTATCTCTGAGCATCCCCACCTTTTTGTTTTCTTCAAACCGGTCTGATCTGCAATCAAGAGTTCGGGTATTTTTAGTTGTACGTGTGCAGGGAGGTGTTTGATACGTGCGTTACAAGTGAACCGCCTTTGAAGTTTATTTCTTCAGTGATGCTTTACAAACACCCTTTAGAAAAGCAACAGTGATGCGGATCCTGCTAATTCCTAGGAAAGCGACAGTCTGCGTCGTCGGTTCTCAAAATGGCCATTAATATTCAGGAAATAAAATGTTTGTCCTCTCCGTTGGTATTAAAATCATGGCTTACTGATTTAAGGCCTGACTTCTGGCACCTTTCTGCATCTGTTTATGTATTTGCAAATGACTATAAATTACATCAATTGCTGCATCACCTTACGTAGTCTTAAATTCACACGGCGTAAATCTTTGAGCGACAGATTTGTGAAGCAGCGAGGTGAATGTTGTCAGAGCATACGTCAGATATTTGGAGTGTCTTGGCTACTACTCGGAAACTTTTGGCAGTTGGAGGGTAACTTGTGGATAAATTATTTCTGATGGTTTGTCTTGAGAGGAATTATAATCCAAGTAATTCAATCATTTGTTATCACCAGATAGATCAATTAATATTTCAATTCTCAGCATCTGGCTGATTATTCCAGTTGATGTAAAGTTTCAGCTGGCACATGACCACGGAATTGACCTCAAAACTTTAACTACCATCAAAATGAATGTGCTAATACATCCTATGTTGCCAGTAATTACTGTTTGGGTAAATACTGTCAGTATCGAGCTGATGCTTAACACCAAATCCCCAGGTCAATGGTGCGTTCTGGGGATCTGCAGGCACGGGAGCGGGCTGACACTAAAACTCCCCTGCAGAGCTCAGCATCTTTCTGAAGGAAACTCTGGGACTGTGATGAGCACAAGGCTGAGTTATAAAACAGGAGGATTTGCTACGAGATGAGCTACCTCAAATTATACAGTCCTCCGAACCCCCCGAACTATGGCCGGTCAATGGTCTTTGCAATCCCCCAAATCAGGAATGTGTTGGGGATTCATTTTTATCTGGATGAATCAGATACAAACCTGTCGGACCAGGCTGGAAGAAAAGCCCTTCTCCAGCAGCATACTGGGGAATACATATATATATACACACACACCACCTTGGGCCCTGGCCAGTTCCTCGTGATTGGTGTTTACCAGTTCAGGGATGTTTTACTGTAAAATATACCGTAAGATAATGAGTTTTACCTAATTGCTCTTTTTGTTTGATGTTCTCCCATCTTCTTTCCTGCCTTTCAGGGGTTCTTGTGCTGACTTTCTTTGTGAACAGATTTCACGTGAACACCATCACCAGCAAAGACCAGTTCATTATAGCGTACGGGGGTCTCCGCGGAGCCATTTGTTTCTCTTTGGTTTTCTTGCTTCCTGACTTTCACAGAAAGAAGCTCTTCATTGCAGCAACAACTGTTGTCATCCTCTTCACCGTGTTTGTACAGGTAAAAAACAATCTTGGTGTCACCAGCAGATGTAAAGAATTACCTTGATTTTTTTTTTTTTTTCCCAGACAAATAACTAGTACTACACCATTAGATGGACACAAGGATTTACCAGTCATTAAAACTTTCCCTCCATTGAGTGGTTGGGCATGTAAAAATTAAAAATTATTACTGAAAGAGGCGGAAGGTGTGAGAACACGTCACGCATTTGTGGGGGCAGCTAGCAGTTACTGGCTTACATGTGCTGTAGCATTTTCCATGATAACTTGTCCCTTCTTTGTTCTGGTCCATCCATACTGGAGTAGCAGTGGTGAAAATTGTGAAGCATGATGCTGGCCTAGGTTTCCTCTCTGAAGTAGTGCTTTTACGTGTTTTCTGCGAGAGCAAAGCCAGCACAAATCAACCTCTGCAATTAGTCTGCTGTTCGAGCGAGGTAAGAACCGTTTGTTATTGTAGGCCTTGTTATGAAATGAAATGCTGCCCGAGCCATGCAGCAGTGAAGGTCACTTCTCCTGGTCCCAAAGGTGAGAAGATGGAAGATCCTGGAGATGCTCCAAACTCTGAACATGAGCAGCAAAAATTTAAAAAGAGGTTTATGCTTTGGTCACCTCAGTTTTGATAGTTCACAAGTGGGACAATTTAAAGGGACCTAATTTTGAGGGAGTGACTTCTTAACGTTTTCTGAGAAGGAGTTTCATTTTATTGGGGCATCCAACAGCTGAAGCAGTAACAGTCATTGGTGGTTTATCAAAATATTTTGTACGTATGTCTGAGGTGTTTTCACATTCATGCAGCAAAGCAGCTGCAGTTACTTTATGATGATGCAGCAGGAAGGGGATTGCTTTAACTCCTCCATCGGGGGAAAAAAAAAAAAGGTAACTTGTTAGAAAAGCAAGGAAAACCAGAAGCAGATAGAAAAGTCAGAGCACGTTTGATTTTTTTGCCTCTAATTTTTCGTTTATAATTGATCCCTAAGCCCTGTTGCTACCTCCTTTCTCTTTCTGCCCAAGTGATTCCTGGGTTGTTTCCTACACAGTGGGGAAGCTTCTGTAAGAGAGTTCAACCTGCCCACGTCCCGGGGTGGCTGCGGACGGGTTGACCCCCGCTGCCAGGGTAGGAGGGGGATCCTCACAGCACTGCTTGCTCTGAGATACTGAGTTTGTTGTTTAAAGCGTGAATGTACGATTATTTTTATTTTTTTTTTCTTAAAGACTGATTTCTGCTGCGGGTGTGTTTTTTTTGTAAAGCCTCAATCCTGTAGAAAGGCTGTAGGAACATCTTCAGCTTGGGCTGCGCTTGGGGAGCGTATGGGAGGTGCCACATCTGTCCCCTGCACACGGCGGGCAAGGACCCAGGCTGGGCAGCCTGCAGCTGGAGCACAACTTGGTTACTATAATAATATACTCTTTTTTTTTTTTTTTTTTTCCCCCACGGATGCTTAGTTAGCACCCCTCCAGGAGTGTGGTGGGGACAGGTTTCCTCTCCCTTAGGCCCAGGCTGAGGTTGTAAGGAGTTATTGTGCTTCAGGGTGCAGTGAAGCCCAGCTCCAGAGGAGCAGGCAGGCAGCAGCTCTCGGCATTGCCGTGACATCTAGTGGTAAAAACATTCTTGCAGCCTTCTGTGGGATGGAGATTTTTGGATGTGTCTCCCTGCTCCTCTCTGCCCAGTAGCAAGTCTCTAAGGGCAATGTTCACCTGGCAGATGCTGCCGCATTTGAAGGAGGACGTGGTGGAAAACTTGGGGTTGTCCGGTCCTGAAGTGAGCAAGGCTGATGTCTGCCTGGTGTGTTCTAGCCCCAAAAGTTAAAAGCGGTCTCCATTGGGCTGAAGCAACTGGGATGGGAGTCTGGGAAAGATGCTGTGCAGAAAAGCTCCCCGGGAGCTCCTGCTCAAGGGCATGAGGTCCGACAGAGCGGCTGACCTGGGGCTGCCCACCTCCTGCCCTCGGATGGAGGGAGCAGAGCAGCTGCTGGAGCTTTGGGAGACGGTCGGTCACAGTGGCCCCATGGCTGAGCATCACCCCATGAGAGCAAATCCCTTCCCCTCGGCCTCCCTGAACCCCTCAGGTGTGGGTGTCAGGCACTTGGGCCATGTGTAGGGTTGGGTTTGGCTCTCTGCTTCCCCACCTCCACGGAATCTACACCATGAGCTGAAAAAATGGTCAACAAGTGTGACGTGCTGATGGGCGCGGAGCTGAGACCCGCAGGGCAGCTGGACCGGGCGCAGTTTTCAGACTGAAAGGACAGAGCAGGGGCCAGGGGTGGGGGGAGCGTACTTAGGTGGAGGTTGACAAGTTTTAAGATGCAAATGTGGGTCAGAAATTGAAAAGATACGGTCACTAGGCACGTCCGCTCATGCAGAGACGCTCTTGAGTCTCAGACAAAGGTTGTTCTAAGGCAGCAGCTCCATTCTGCCAAGGCTTCGGAAAATCCTTCCCAGGACTGGGAAAAGGGCTTTTGTGTAAACGAAAAGCTCAACTGGTGATGTCATCTCCATGCGAAAGGGTGGGAGTTAAACAGGGTCCCCCCGTGGGTACGTGTCAGCGGGGCGACCCCTTGACCTTCAGCCATTCAGCAGGAACACGGCATCTATAAAGACAGACTTTGCTCGGGCTCCAGATACCTGCAGCATTGTGCAGCTGAGGCCGCCGCGAGAACGGGGAGGGGAAAAGTAAACTCGCTTAAAAGCTGAACCAGAAAGATACTGCTGTAGCTCAGCACCAAAAACACAGGTAAATATAACAGAGGGAGGTATTAAGACGAAGCTTCAGAAACCTGGGTTTGCACGTTTTCTGAAATCTGTGGCGCCGCTGCCAGCTGCATCGACGGACGCAGGATTTAAGAGTGAAATCTGTAATATCCCAGCATCTTTCATGGTGCGTGGCACTTTGGATGGAAAGGGAAAGCGAAATATTGGCCACAAAACAACTCCTGTGGATAGTGGACTTCTTTTTTTTTTTCTTTTTTTCCTCTGTTATTTTGTGCAATAAGTTTTCTTTGTGTTCACAGTGATATCAGTACAGACTTGATGGCAGTTGTCTGCGTTAAGATAGGACAGGAACCAAGGGAGAGATGATTTGGCCCCCTTTAAGCTGGTGAAGGCAGCAAGACATCTTGTTGGAGCACATACCCACTTCATTTTCGTGGAAATCCTGACCATGCTGTCTGAAAAGCCTCGTGCTACACAGGCTAATGACCAATGCGCAAGCAGTTGGGCTTGTCCATACGTGGGTCCATCAGTGCATTACACAACCCTGGCTAACTCAGTTGCATAAGACTCTTCCCACAAGAAGCCTGGTTAATAATTTTGAGGAGGTTGACTGATCAATTGTCAAGTCCTCAACGCTTCTAAGCAGCCCTGGGTATATGTCACGTAGACCAGAAAGTCCTCCAAGAGGCTGTGGGCTTGTCTGGAATGTCACAAAAAGCCCCCATTGTTCTGCCTTTCAGTGTGGTTTAAAAATTAAATACCACGTTCTCCATTTGAAGTTCGCTCTCTGAGCCTACTGGCCTCTGACCTCTTCCATCAGATTGTTAGCAAATACAGTAATTGTGAAGAGGCTTTTTTTTTTTTTTTTTTTTTTTTTTTTTTTTCTGTTTGCTGCCTACACTGACCCATTAGCTACTGGATTGCTGGCGGTAGAAAAACTTTGTGTGAGGCGTGATAGAGCCTGTCAGCATCGGGGGATGCACTTCAGATGAGTTATCCCTGGTGGGTGGAGGAACGTCATAGAGGACCTACAGGTGTGTTGTGAAATGACTTGTGGGATTCCCACAGTGCTCCCAAGGTCGGGAAGGACCAAAGGAATCCGGATGTGTCTAAATTTGGGACTCTTGGTCACACAACTCCAAAATGCCACTTTAAGAAGAAAACAAATAGAGCTGATTATCCAGTGAAGGCAAGAGACTGAATTGTGTAGTCTCTACTTAATTTTGTAATATCTGTTATTTCTAAATTAGTGAATTTTATGTCATTTACTCTGAAGAGCAATGCATTTTTTTATTGCTCTTAGCTATTAAAATGACATATTAATTGTTTCGGCAATTAAAAATGTGTTCAACTCTCCTCCGTGGCAGCATTTGTGACATTCAGAAGTCATAAACATCAACTACTCCATCATTTTTTGCTGTAAACATGTCCTAGAAAAGTCATTTCATACCAAAGCCAGACTAAGAAATGCAACACAACAGCGTTTTGGAAGTTCTCCCACGAGGCTTAAAGAACATTAAAACTCTTCCCTTGACCCTTCCCACCAGGTAGATTCTTTGATTAGTAAACTTAGCCACCAACTGGCCATCAAAGATCATTCAAGCAATGATCTGTGACATATAATACTCAAAAAGTTAGCAAATTGAGGTGGAGGCTGCGTGCTGTGAAGTCTCAAGGACTATCACTGTTTCAGGCATTTGAACTTTGAACGTTTCAAGCCCATCTCCATCTGGTAGGCTACAAGCCAAGAGCAAGCCACAGCCTTGACCTTGAAAATATTGGTTGACTCTTCGTGGTCTTCGAGATGCCAGATGAGAGCAAAGCATTTCCCCCTCTTTGCTTACCCCCATCCTAAAGCCTTCTGCATCTGAGCTCCTGTTGATGGGCTACTACCACAAGGGGAAAAGATGTTTGGCCTACAGGTGAACAGAATTTCTAGAATGTTGAAGCTTCTCAGATTTTTATCTTGCTCATAAAACCAAGTGGATTAGAGGGGCCTAGCTCAAACAGCAGGTCTTGTTCTGGCAAAGTTGTGGTGATTTTTGTTCCAGTGCGGGTACCACTAAGAACATTTAACGTGAAGAAAGGTTGATTTTTGTCTTTGTGGTTATGCTGCAGGGAATGACCATCCGCCCTCTTGTTGACTTGTTGGCTGTCAAGAGGAAAAGAGAGAGTGCTCCCACAGTGGGAGAGCAGATCCATATTCGGGTAAGTGACCATCAACACATGGTCAGAGCTTTCCAAATATGCTTCGCCGATGTGGTGTGCCTCTACAGCCCCACAGTTTTACCTGAAGCCTTTGCAGGTCAGTCCTTTTCCAGGTTGGAAGTCCTATGCAGCTTCCTAACCATGGGTTATTATTTATATTGGAATAGCAGCCACCGACTCAGGCTGGTGTTGCATTAGGTGGTGCACAAACACGACAGGAGAAGGTGATCACTCGTCCTAAAGTTTATACTCTAACCTAACTCCAACTTTTCTGCTTCCCTGGAAAGAGTGAAGGAAAGAAAATGAGACTTGGTTGTTTTCAGGGTTGGGTATTCACCGGTCACATCACCACCACCAGTGTGGATATTTTTGCAAAAAGATTTAGAAAAGGGAGAGTAAGGTTAGCTCTAGGTTGGAGGAAACCACTGAAGTTCCCCCTCCCTGGAAGGGCTCAAGGCCAGGTTGGCTTTGAGAGACCTGGACTAGCGGAAGGTGTCCCTGCCCGGGGCAGGGCGGGTGTGGCAGGATGGTCTTTAAGGTCCCTTCCCACCCAAAACATTTGATGATTCCACGACCTTAATCTGAAGGTGGACTTTAGTTCCCCTCACTCTCGCCATCCAGACGTTGGCATTTCTAGTTATAGAGGATTTCTTCAGAGAGGACGTGGGGTGCTCTGTCCACCTAGCTGAGGCCGCGCCTCTGCATCTGCGTCCAAATGTAAAATTACGTTTCTGAATCTAATTCTTTATGGCCAGTCACATTTCTGTGGGTATGGCTTTTCAGGCATATTTTTTGTCTTCTTTTCGGGTAGCTAGAAATAAAGACATTAGGTCTGAGGACGTTTATAAAAACTGTTTGGCATCCTTACAATTAGGTTGTATTACAGGGCTTTGTTTGAGGTTAACAGAAGAGTTCAATAGGCTGAAGAGCCTTTTCCTATGGTGAACAGAGAATACTTTCTTCTTTTGTTTGTGTGTGAATAGTAAATCATCTCTGGAAATGTGTTTATTAGCAAATGTGAGCTGAAAATGGCTCTGTACCAATTAAGTTGAGAGGGTAATAATGCAGATAGTTGGAAATCAGGAACGCAGAAGCCAGAAGCAGCTTTCTTCCTTAAATTTATTTCTCTGCCCTGATAGTCGGGACGTTCTTGCTGGCAAGAGTGACGATCAGTGTGTGTGTGTGGGGTCACTTGCTGGTCCTCAGATTATTCAGCTGCTGATAGCAGTGTCAGGACTCTAAATATCAGGCTGAGGGGATTTCTCTGAAATTTTTCTGTCTCTGACCTTACAAAGAAATTAAAAAAAAAAAAAAATTAGAGCTGGAGGAAGCTCCAGAGGTATCGATACCTGAGTGTGGAGGGGCATTGACTCACGGTAGAGCAGAGCCCTCCCCCAGTTTAGGGATGCCAGTAGGAGGGAAAAGAATTTAGGAAATTACAGAGATTTAACTTCTAGCTAGAAAAATCAACCTGTCCGGGATTTTTTAATATAATTTTAAATAATAATAATAATGTTTTTGTATGAGGCACAATATAGCCAATGATTTAATTTAGTGGGAAGTGTCTGAGGGAAGGCAGGATTTATTATTCAAGTCAAAGCATCATTTGTACCTTATCTACATCTATATCCTGAAGATACTGATCTCCTGAGACAAATTGTCCTCAAAAACCTCAATATGAGCGTTTCCTGCTTATCAAGGCCCAACATGCAGGACATGCAAGCCATCAGCCATCCTGTAGGTATCTTAAAGAGCAGATCCACGTCCCTCAGCGACCTGAGAGCAAGCGGCCAAACCACTTCTTGTGCCCCAGAGCTGAGGGGTACGCGGGGACGCCTGGATGGGGAATTAGCCCGACAGCCCCTCTTCTTGTTTACTGTGGCTGTGTACTGAGCTGAAAGGGTCTCCCCTTTTGTCTGCCGGCTTTTGATGTTTGCTGACTGAGTTCATCCCATATGCAACTGGTGTATAGCGAAATCCTCTCTTCTGTTTAGTTCTTGGATCATTTGCTGGCTGGCATTGAAGATATATCTGGACACTGGGGACAGTATTACTGGAAAGACAAGTAAGGATTTGCTAAAATACGGCTATGTACACGTGTGGAAAAAAATGGGGGCTGGTTTCTATTCCCTAAGTTTCCACTGTGGGCAGCTGAGCCTTGCTCACCCTTGCGGCACAAGGCAGGTGACAGCGGGGCAGCTTTTACTTGTCCAAGGTGAGACCAGGTTCTCGGGGCGCTCCCCCACTTGCAGGTCACATTCACTTCACCCTCAGAAGACTCCTTTCTCCTCTCCTACCCTGTTTGTCGCCTCTTGTACAAAGAAGAAATGAAAAACACACACCTTGGGTGGCTTCAGCCTGTCCCTGCCTGCCCCAGTGCTCCCCGTGTCCTCCTCCTGTGTGGGAGCTGAGGGCTCCAACCCGGCGTGTGCACAATTAACACTACAAAGATGAGTTTTGCAGCGCTTGGAGGGGGGTCTGCTTGTTGAGGATGGACAAATTATAAAGAATCTCTACAGATTTCTGTTGCGAAGTGCTCCGATTTCATGCAGTTCTGGTAGATTGTGCACATAGGAGATTTTATTTTTTTTAATTTTAAATATATAAATAACGTAAAATACACTTAATAGAAATCTACCAGGTTTAATTCCTCGGCTGTGCAGATGCAGCTAACTTGATGGTAAGAACTCAACGCAGCTGGCAGGGATTTTCTTAGGAATGCCAGTGCTTGAAGTGCCACTAGAGGGTATGGGAATCGCTGCTGCTCAGGAGTGTCCAGGCTCCTTGCGAGGAGGTTTCTGTACAGCAAACAGCCAGGCTTGAGCATCAGTGTTTGATACCAGCTCGATCTTTCCCAAAAGTTGTGCTGCATTTGAGCAGAAAGTGAGAGGAAATGACTCAGGAGGGAACCTGGAAGCGTTTAAATCTGTTCCATCCCTTGGGGCTACTGCATGTACTTGTAGTATTTATAGTGGAGTTTGTGATAAATCTGGCACTTTGGGGATTTTTTTTTCCTTGTGTTTGGCAAAGTTTTAGTATCTTAGCTCATGTACTGTAGTGCAGAAATAATGAGGGGCTGACCTCTGGGATCATTGATTTCTGGAGTGAAGGTGATGGGATATAATGGATATGGAGCAACCACGGACTATGAACTGGCTGGCTTGCTCAGCTCCATTTAGGTGCTGGGGAGTCATGGGAGGAGGCTAAGCATGTCTTGGTTTGTTCTCCAACAGATTAGAATATTTCAACAGCAAATACCTGCAGAAGATCCTGCTTCGAGAATACGACCAGCCAAAATCAAGTATTGTGCTTCTCTACGAGAAGCTGGAGCGGAAACACGCCATCGAGCTGGCGGAGGCGGGGCAGCTGGGTCATGCCCCATCCCACCCATCCCTGATGTAAGTCATCCTCGTTCTGTCACCCCTCCCACCGGAGGGAACGGTGGCAAAAAGTTTTTTCAAACTTCTCTTCCTCTTCTGCTCTTCCCTGCTGGGCTAGCCCTTGGGAAGGAGCAGCATAACTTGGACAAATGTGAAGTAAATGCTCTTTAAAGGTTAGTAGGTGGGTGTTGTAAAAGATCGGGTGGATGAGCAATTGATGGACACAGTTTCTGATCTTGTACGTGGAGGCTTACCTCCCCCGAGCTGCACAGAAATGGTGCTCCGAGGGGGAGGCTCTTGCACCATTTTTTGATGGTTCTGCACCATTACATGGACTGAAGGAGCCAACAGCGAGCATGAGCGTTGGCTGAGACTGCAGGCTCAAATATTTGCTTGTTGGAATGGCCGTCTCGTCTCTCAGAGGCGGTTCTGCTCTGCCACAGCTCCCCACAGCCCTTTTATCTCCCCGGGAGCGCGTGGATGGCTCAGCTCTGACGCAAATACCAAACGCCGCTTCTGCAGCGAGCTCCGTCTGCAAGGATTAGCTGTTGGCCACGTCTGCTGGTGGATCGGGATCCGAAAAGGCTGCTGGGAACGCTGGGCTTTGGGGATGCACTGTGCATCTTCCAAAATAAGGTGTTCTGGTTTTCTTTGCAGCAACAACGACAGGAGTGTCATAACAGACAAAAAATTGGAGGTTACTCTGAATCCGGATGTCCTGGAAAATATACAGGAAATATTGGCAAGGAACCTGTACCGAATAAGGAGAACGGTATGACTCTTCCCTCAATCTGTATTTTAGATGTCCAATAACAAAAGTTATCTCAGTTATCCTAACAGCCCGAGCAGATGTTATGAATATTTACATAATTACTAACGATGTCTCTTTGTGAGCAGAGAATAGTTGGCTGTGTGAAGCCAGATCCAGTTTCCAAGTCAGTGGCACATTTCTGTTTGCAGCATGACAGCTTTTGAAAGGTTCATCCAGTCAGCCTATAATTTCATGAAGTATTTTAGGCATCAGTACCCAGAACCAGAAAGGAGAAAGGAGGAGCACATGGATCTTCAGGCATCGGGTTAGCAGATCCAGCAGTTGCAACAGCTCCTGGTTACCTCCAGGGCAGAGCAGGGATGGGGTTATCCTCACGTTGCATTTTTTTCCCACAGAAGAGAGCGCAGCGAGCGAGCTGCGAGTGAGAATTAATCTGTAGAGGGTTTAAAGCCGCTCGGCACTTTTGCCATGAAACCGGTACAACTGGTAAATAGCACGGAACCCACTTGCTGTTTACAGAATAACTCATGAATAATCTGTCTGAGGTTTTACGCACCACCTAGGACTGCACGTTGTAATTGCTGTTCACATGGTGATACATGGAGCCTTATCCTTAAAATCCACCTAAGCCTTTGTTTTACGGATTACGCACGAAATACTGAGTCCCTGGGGATGCAGCTGGTGGGGGCAGCTCAGCACAGAGGGATCAACCATCCCCTCCTGTCTGCTTGCTGAGCCAAGACACGCAAGGCTGGGAGGAAACCTATAGAAACGGTGACAGAACCTATAGAAACGGTGGCAGAACCTATAGAAACGGTGACAGAACCTATAGAAATGGTGACAGAACCTATAGAAACGGTGGCAGAACCTATAGAAACGGTGAATGGGATGTAGGTGAAGGCCTTCCTCCTGTGTGTGCTTCTTCCTGCCTAAACCCAGCCTCACACCTTGCAGGGACAGTTATCCCAAC